TCGGTATGTTGATGATCTTGATTTAATCATTTTACAATGTATATTTATATCAAAATGTCAGACTGTATACCATAAATCTATATCATTTTTATTTGTCAATTATGCCCTAATAAAACTAGAAAATAAAAAATAAGATAAAAAGGAAATGTTTTTCCTACCAAGGAAAGACATTCCAGCAGCAATATCTGCATCACTAATAATAGATGCCAGAAACAATAAAATAAAGCTCTAAAAGTGTTAAGGTAAAATGACAGCCAACCTGTTATTCATTGCATGACTAAACTAATATTCCAGAGTAAGTGCATGGCAAAGTGATTTTTAGACTTTCAAAGTCTGGGAGTGATTGCTTCCTATAATCTTTGCTATAACAAATACATCAGATTGGTTCCTTTTTAATATCCACTCCAATGGCTTTCTTATATTATAGAGGCTGGAATGCTTTAAAAAATGACATATCTTGAACCCTTTTGTAGCTAGTGATCTGCTTATGACTCAGATTCTGGTGGGGGACAAACTCACAGGGACTTGGAAGGCAAAAGTGAGCTATGTAACATAGAGGCTGTGAGAAGGTCAAAGAGTTCTTCTGGAAAATCCTGAGTTGGGGGCATTTGGTTCATCTGTTGCATCTGCAGCAGAGATTCCACTATCCTAAGAGTTTAATGATAACCAATTGCAGCAATAGGTTTTCTTCCAGTGCAGTCTCATAGAATAATTGGGCATTTCTCTTGGTTGACTACTTCCGCTTGTTAAACTTCCAAACCTTGTTCCCTAGTGTTCCTGAAAATCTTGCAATCTCTCAGCTATCCTGTAATAAATTACTTTTACATTTAAGCTAGCTAGAATGATTTTTGTTTTCTACCACAAAGAACGGTGATCAATAAAGAATTCATTCCAGAAATCCTGACAGACTATAGATCTTCAGGACATGGGAATCTGGAATTTATTCTTATTTCATAGGGTTTGAAGGCCATGAGGATTGGGTAGCATTATAGGATGAGGCACAGGTGTCCCAGAGCACACAGTGGACAAGGAGTCACCATTCACATACCCCCAAACGCGAATTTGTGCGAGGTCAAATGATAAAGGGAATTTCGACTTATGTCCTACTCACGGGTTAGGGGCATGCATCTAGCCTGTAGTTAGTTCCTGACTTCCTGAGTGTAGAGATGGAATACTTAAAACTGGCAGAATCTAAACATGAGAACAATTACAGTAATGTCACATACAGGCCCCAGGAGCTTCTCCTCCCAGTGAAGACAGTAAACCAAAAGGAACATCATGTCCTTGGAGGAACCATAGAGCCTTGTCCCAACATCAAATATTTGAAAGGTATGGAGATGGGGATTCCTATTAAAGCCCATTTGAGTCACTTGCTTGGTCTCTACCTAAGACAGATGGGTCTTAGTTCACATGCATAGAACTGGGGATAGCAAAGTATCCAGTTTCTCAACAGAAGTGCTAGAAAATGGAAGAGAAAGGAGAAATGCTGATTGACAGCATAATGGCCCCCAAATGATGTTCATCCCTGGAAGCTGTGAATATGTTCAGGCAAAGGACAAGTAAGTTTGCAGATGGATTTAAGGTTGCTAATTAGCTGACTTTAAGACAGTAATAGATTATCCCCGATTACTAGGTCAACCCAACATAATCACAAAAGTCCTGAAAAGTAGAGGGCAGGGGCAAAAGAAGCAAGTCAAGGAAATATGACTGTGAAAGAAGTTCAGAAAGATGCAAAGTGGATGGCTTTGAAGATGGAGGAAGGGACAAAGGGCCATGGGATACGGACAGTCACAAGAAGCTGAAAACGGCAAGTAGGCGGATGCTTCCCAGAGGCAGTAGAAAGGAGTGAAGCCCTGCTGATGCCTTAATTTTAGCTCCAGGACATCTGTGTCAGACTTCTGAGGTACCTACAGAACTGTAAGATCATGCGTTTGTGTTGTTTAAGCAAATAAGACTGTGGTCATTTGTTAAGGCAGCAATATAAAACTAATATCAATGTCTTCAAAATTCTAAGAGAAAATGCTTTTCAATCTATTATCCTGTATTTAGACATACTTGCTAATTAAATGTAAGTTTAAATTAAAGACATTTACAGGCATGCAAGATCTGAAAAGAAATGAATTCCTATGCATCTAAGCAGTCTTGGGAAACTGCTGCAAGATATGAACTTCCAAAATAAGGGAGTAAACCAAATAAGAAAAAGACAGGAACCTTGAAAACTTGCCTAGAGCCAGCACTGGAGAAAGCAGAAGGGAAGTCCTGGGAGAACAGGTATTCTGCAGATGTAGAGAGCAACTAGCCCATAGCAAAGCAGCATAGATAGCTCAGGCGGTCGAGGGGAACCAGTTCTGGTGGTGTCTGGCAGAGCACTTGAAATGTGTCGCCAAGTCTCAAAGAGGTTTTAACTGGAAAAATTGGAGAATTCATGATACAGAAAACTAAGCAAACAAACACAGGCAAATTTTAATTGCAGAAAAACAAAGTTCTTTTGAAAAGGAAATGTAATTGTTATATCTTGATTGCCTTGGCAGTGAACTGTATTTGCATGTTTTAATAATGCAAATATAAATGTAACTTGATTGGAAGGATGCAGGGGAGAAAAGTAAAGGCCTCGGCCTCTAGGCCTCCATTTCCATTGGTTTACTGCTTGTTTGTTTATAGACCACAGGGGTACAGAACTGGATTGATCAGACTCCAATTCTGGTACTCTTTTAATGTTGGTCCATGTATGACCTGCTTTTAGCCATCTAGTTCTTTCAAATAATGTAATAAAAACCCAGGAACTCACTGCCCAAAACAAAATATAGAACCTAGACAATTATCTAAACTTGTCCCTATCCCATACTGACCCACAACCCTTTTCCACCATCTGGGGTCACCAACATTCTGAATTTGGTGTTCACAATTCCTTTGCCTTCCTCGTATTTCAGCTGATTCACAACTAGTCTGAAGACAGGGTCCCCAGTGGACTAGAAACAGAAATAGAGAAGGAGCTATTAAAATAAAGCACTATCCCCATGAAGTAGCAGATAGTTTATTCTCTGCAAGAGAGATTATAAAACCTCAAAAAAGATTCTGAGCCCCAGAGTTTTCTCACATTAAATATCATTGTTTTTTTAGTCTTTCAAAAAAGAACATAGCATTGCATGTATTTCATTTCTTCCTTCCCTAACCACTCCTTGAAATGAAAGAATTGGGGGGTGCACAGAGATACAGAAGATGCTGAAGATGCTAATGATCAGTGCTAAGGGGCTGGCAGCATCCACCTACCATCCTCAGGCTACACTCTAAGCCAGGCATGTTTCCCAGTGGAAGTTCCAAGATCCCCAATCTTCCCAGATTCCTCCCTGAATCTAGACACCTGGGAAGGACTCCTATCACCATAGAGATCCCTGTGGCACATCACAGCAAGCTTAGTAGCAGTGAGGGTTTAGTGTAGCTCCACCTGTGCTACCTGAGGATCTTGAGGCCCAGGCTGGCTATGGAATGGCTGTTTTTCTTGGCAACCTGCCATGATCAGTGATATAGCTTAGATATTTGTCCCCTCCAAATCTCATGTTGAAATTTGACCCCCAATGTTGGAAGTGCAGCATGGTGGGAAGTGTTTGGGTCATGGGGACAGGTCCCTCATGACCAGCTTTGTGCCATCCTTGTGGTAATGCATGAGTTCTCACTCTATTAGTTCCTGGGGGAAGTGATTGTTAAAAAGAGCCAGGCACCTCCCTCCTCTCTTGCTTCCTGCCTCTCATCATGTGATGCCTGGTGCCCTTCACCTTCTGCCATGAATGGAGCTTCCTAAGGTCCCACACCAGTGGCAGATGCTGGTGCCATGCTTCTTGACAGCCTTCTGAACTGTGAGCCAAATAAATCTCTTTTCTTTATACATTACCCAGTCTCAAGTATTCCTTTATAGAAACTCAAAGTAGACTAAGACAGTCAAGCAGGCTTCAGCAACTTAGGAGTCACTTAGAAGCTTTTTTGGAAGACAATTCTAACCAGAATTGACCTCACAAAGCAGCCATAGATCTTGCCTGTACTAAAACGATGGATTCCTTGACCACTGAGCTGCAAGAGGCTTTGGAGTGCATCTAGTCAAGCATTTCCCAAAGTATGTAACTCAAGCACTAGATGTTTAGGATGGTTGATAGATTTTACCCAAAAAGTGTTATTTAATGAGGGAAATGTGAAGAATCCTAGATTTTTTAAAAATTAAGATTCTATTCTACATACCTTCTCAGAACCTAATCTCCAAGAGGGTGGCTTATTCCCAGTTTAGCTGTGCATGATCTTTAGCAGGTTACCTAAGTTAGCTGAGCCTGTTTCCTCATCTGCATAATAAGGCCCACCTGGGAGGACAGCTGTGCAGGTGAGATAATGAGCTCAGAGGCATTTAGCACAATACCTCACGTAGACAGTGGTAACACATTCTTAGTTCCTTCTCCTTCTCCTATGCCTTTCATTTTTCTTTCAAATTTTTCTCTACGCTTAACAAATTACCCCTATTTACAAACTTCTGTGAAATTGTTTGAAACTAATTTCCTTTACTCTGAATGGCTTCAGGTAATTACGTATGTAATGAAAGCTTACTCAGCTTACCTGGTAGGACAGCAGGACCCCAGGCTACCGGGGGCCGAATGGTAAACACAGGGAATGTGGTGTGGACCCGCACACTGGCAAGCGGGAGAATCGCTCTCAAGGCTTGAGTGGCAGCTTCGCCTCATCCTGAGTCACCGAGGAACAGATGCAGTCCCAGGTTAAAACATGCAGCACAGATTTATAACCACAAAAGAGGGAACTTGGGCAGCTGATTAATGGAAGAAACACTAGACGAAGAGGCAGAGGTTCCTCAACTGGCTATTTACTTTCTCAGAGCTTGAATCTCTGCATCTGTAAAATGCAGAGTTGGGTAGATACTCTTCATGCTCCCTTCCTCTAATCCCTGCTAACCCCATCTTAAAGGTTACCAATTGTGACATAATTGCAAATCCAAGAGGCACAGCCCACACACCTGAAATAAATTTTATTGAGATGAGTAATTTACAATAAAACACTTTGCAGCACATTGGAAAAACTCATGTTTCACAAATTTTACATTCACAAATACAAGTCACTTTTGCTCAAAGGCACACAGGGACCTTGGGGAGGGGACAGACCTAATGAGCCATCAGTGGGTGCTCCCCAAGAAAAGGGTTTTTTCTGAGACTTGGCAGTACCAAAGGTCCCTGACTAATGATGGTTCAACTTAGGATTTTAAAAAAAATTTATGATGATGTGAAAGCAATACACATTGAGTAGAAACCATACTTTGCATTTCCATACAACCATTCTGGTTTTCAATTTCAGTGCAGTATTCAATAAATTACATGAGATGTTCAATACTTTATTATAAGATAAGCTTTGTGTTAAATGATTTTGCCCAACTGTAGGCTAATAGAAGTGTTCTCAGCACATTTAAGGTAGGCTTGGCTAAGCTACAATGTTCAGTAGGTTGGGTGTATTCAATGCATTTTCCACTTCCAATATTTTTGACTTACGATTGCTTTATTGAGATGTAAGTCAAGGAGTTTCTATATACCTAGACACTCTCGGAAAGGAGTGAAGTGCAACATCCTCCATGCTTCCCAGAGCAGGACAAACCTGTATCCCTGCTGCCTTGTCTCATTCTGGTTCACAGACTTTCTATGGCAACATTCAGATGAAAACACTAGCTACTTCTTGACACGGCAGAGACAATAAGTACAGACACATGAGCCATTTGTCCTGAAAAATCCATTTGGGGATCCCTGTGCGCTTAGAAAACTCTCTCTGTCCAATGAAAGTCACAATTTTGTCCATAATTCAGTAAGTGAGTTTTCAAAATTTTGTGTCTTGAAAATTTTCAGCCATCTTCATAGATAGAAAGTAGGATAATGAACCCTCATAGTTCATTATACGGAAGCAGATGGTGTGACCAAGTTCAGTTTCAATCAACAGCCAAGAGGTCTAAGTGACAAACTCTTTCTCCCTCAAACCTTAGTTTCCTACTGAGCTCATATCCATGCTTTGCTTTCAGGGTTCATCTGGTGCTAGAAGGAAACCTATAAACCAATGCTAAACCTCCAGGGCTAACCTAGTTAACAGTAGCAATTGTTTAGAGCAAGTGAATTAAGCTGGATTCTGCCTGACAGGTCGATTTTCTGGTGACACAGTGAGCCACTCAGGACCAGATGGAAGGTGATAAAAAACAATCAGTCCTTGGAATGAGATTTCTCTGGCAAGTTAGACCCTTAAGTGTTAAGGTTTCTTAAGGATTCCATAGGTTTCTGAAAGTGAAAGTGACACCTGAACCACTAAAATGATGTCGACAGCAAGAACCCTCATTACTCAGACAACACAGAGAAACGACTTGTCTAGACAGCTTGGAAGGATGAGGTGTCTAAGCACAATTACTTTCAGCATGTTGGAAAGCCTGCTCCCTCATCTCTTATGAAAACAGAACAATTTTTCACCACCTTTTGTTTTTGCGTGATTGCGGGGGAGAAGGAATCATGTCTCCCGGTTGAGTTTGATTCCCTGGATCATCTTGAGGCTGCTCTGAGGAGGCGCATGTGAGTCAGGCCCTTCCCACCACTGTCTACAGTAGGGGCCAGCTCTGCCTGCGTGGTGACAGGCTTCACCTTGGGTTTTCTCACCTCTTCAACTCTTCTGGTGGACACCCCTGGGAAAGGTGGTCAGAAATATTTTGCTGTGCCCCTGTTTCTTATCATTACAATCTAAATGAAAAAGCATGAATGAAAAAAAAATTTCATCCAAACATGCACACAGTCACATACACAAAGGAAAACATTGCAGATACAGCCACAGCATGTTCACAGATGTTATCACAAATTGATGGGAAAAGAGAGTGGGGTGTGTGTGTGTGTGTGTGTGTGTGTGTGCGTGCACACTTTTCTGAATTTTTCTAAGTGGCAATAATAATTTCCCTTTGTTTTAAGGAACCCAAGTTGGTCCTTTCTTGTCTGGATATTGGTAGGCCACTGAAGACTTGTGATTCTTCATGGCCCAGTGACTCCAGAAAGTGAGGCATGAAAATCTCCATGCCAGCTCTGGCTTGCTGGCATTTCCCTGGCCTGTGCACCTGTTTCAAGCAGAGCTCTGTGCATCTGGGTCACCATACCCAAAGTATGATTCAGGTCTCCCTTTTGGATGCTCAGCAGTAGGGAAGGCTGTAAGGCAGCAGCTGCCTCACAGATGGAGGCAGTTGAATGATTCAGCCCCTATCTGGGCCAAAGTTGTCCACCGTCCACTTCCTCAGAGATCCAGGCTGCTATACCTCCAAGTGTGGTATGTCTTAGATGGGAATTTATGAACACATGTCTAGTTGGTGGTGCCTTTTAGTTTTCACATCACATGGGGCTAGGAGGCTAGACAGTTTCCTAGGAAGCGAAGAGTCCTACAGCTTCTGCAGGAGTGTGTTTCCAGCACTCTCAAGATCATGTGTGAGAACAGGTTCTCTTTCTCTGCCTCAGATGGAGATAGACCCCTCCCATTGCCTCTTTCCTACGTCCTCTAACTCATCGTCACAATGGGTTCCACAGATGACAGATCTGTCTTCCCAGACTGGAGTTGGGACGTGGGCAGGAGGTTATTGGTGAGGGGAGCCCTCTGGCCATCACTCTTCTCTGTCCAGGCCACCCTGAAAGAAGGAACCGGGGAGGGCGGCCTCTCCTCCTGAGGCTTGGGAGGTCTTTGGCACATGTTCAGTAATGCCTTTAGCTCAATCCTGAAGTTCTCGTTCAGCCAGCAGTATATGAAGGGGTTGTAGCAGGTGCTGCTCATGGCAAACCAGTGGAAGGCAAAGTAGAGGGCGTTGTTGGTGCGGATGACCTTGCTGGACAAGAGTAGGACGTAGCAGTTGAGCGGGAACCAGCAGAGGGCAAAGAGGACTACCACCAGCATCAACATCTTGATAGTCTTCTTCTTTTTGCGCCGCAGGGCAAGGTACTGCTCTGTGGTCACATCGCCAATCGTGTTACACAGCCACAGTTTCTTGGCCACACGAGCGTAGGCCACAGAGATGATGAGGAGGGGCAGGATGTAGAGTAGGATGAAGGTGGCCAAGTCCAGGTACTTCCAGAAGAGGTCAGCTGGCTCAGGGAAGTCTGGCAGGCAGAGGGAGGGCACAATGTTCTCGCTGGGGGCAGGAAGCCGGAAGGCGGAGAGAGTTAACAGAGAGGTGATATTAGTGTAGAAGGCCTTCATCCCAAGAAGCATTGGCCTCTCCTTCCACCGGGCTCCTGGTTCATCCATCTAATATAGCACTTTTGATGCTGTAGCCTAATTATCTGATTACATTTCTTCCTCCCCGACTAGGCTGGGAATTGCATAGAGGTAAATAATACACCTGAATTTCTCTGTGTTCTCCTAATCTTGTGTTATTCCTAGCCCATAGTAGAGACCCAAAAAATATTTGTTGAATAAATGAATGAAACACTCATGTTCTCAGGTTGAAAACTAACTCATCCTTGAGGAAATCTTAGACTTTCCCATTTAAAAGTGAAAAACGTTTCCATTTTAACGGGAAAACTAAGGCATGAACAAAAGAAATGATGGGTCTTGAGCATATGAGTGGTAAAGCCTGAACTAACATTCCCTTCAGCCACTCACAGAAAAAGTATTTATTTTATATGGAATGTACCCCAGTCCTCTTCAGCCTTTTAAGGAATGCCCATGTGGCTTGGTGCTCTAGTTCTACGTGCTGGTGGCCATCACTAACAAAAGAGAGAGGAAACTTCCTTTATTTTTTTGTTAGGGGGAAAAAAAGTCCTCCATATGGAAAGGTAGAAGGGCAGTTTGGATGTTGGGGGGTCTGGATGTGTGATTCATTTCACTGTCCTAGAGTTCCTGGAGGGGGCCTTTATAAATTAGTTGAATTCTGCCTTCTGGGCTTGTTTCTCTTAACCCTGCTTTTGTCACAGGGGTGTGTGTGTGTGTGTTTGTGTGTATACGTTATAGATGGGGTGAAGCATGGCTCCTGTGGCAGACATCCCCTGGATTCCCTCAGAGCCCGCCCCTTTGATAGTCTGGAGAACTAACCCCGGCCCTCCCACAAGAAACAGCTGGTACTTGTCATCTTCTAGTGCTTAGGACTTCCCTAAGGCCACTCAAGCCCTTTCCCACAGATTCACTACAGCCGTAAGTGACCAGGAGTTTCCAATTTTCCTAGGAAGACCTGTAACAAAAGACTGAGAGACGGAGGAACAGGAAAGCCCAGCTCCCTGGCCTCAAGGTGAGGCAAACTCTACACTCTCAGTCTCCTCCAGAGCCCCCTGCGGAGCAGGGGCAGCTTCCCCTAAAATCACACCCTTCCTTGGTCTCTTCCTGGTCCCTGTCCAGCCTCTGCCACTCTCTTTCCCATTGCTCCTGGGAGCACTGCCTCAATTAGCCACTTGCAGGTATACCTGCCTTTACCACAATACCTGTCTCTAAGGAAGCTCATCTAAAACAACAAATGACAAATCACTCTAAGAGGCTGGGCGCAGTGGCTCACACCTGTAATCCCAGAACTTTGGGAGGCCAAGGTGGGTGGATCACCTGAAGTCAGGAGTTCGAGACCAGCCTGGCCAACATGGTGAAACCCCGTCTCTACTAAAAATACAAAAAATTAGTTGGGTGTGGTGGTGAGCGCCTATAATCCCAGCTACTTGGGAGAATGAGGCAGGAGAATTGCTTGAGCCCCGGTGGCGCAGGTTGCAGTGAGCTGCGATCGTGCCATTGCACTCCAGCCTGGGCAACAGAGCGAGATGTCTCAAAGAAGAAAATCACTCTAAGATCATTCATTCATTTAGTAAATATGTACCGAGGGCTTGTTATGTGGAGACAGTAAGCTAAGTGTTGGGATCAACAAGATAACAAAGAAACGGCCAGTTCTTTCCAAACTGACAGTCCAATAGGGAGATCCCCTAATGAACCAGTTTAAGCTTTAAAAAACTGAGTGTTGAAAGAAAGCCATTCTCATTCAGTGAGAACTATGATAAACATGTGAGAGGTCGGGGTGGGAGAGAAGCCTGCCTCAGGTGCAGGCAGGCATGCAGATTTTGTCTGCAGGTAGTGTGAAAGGATTTACACCTTGCTCCTTTTCAACAAGGCCTTGGTGACTCAGATCTCAGGCTGTGTGAGTACAGCACCCTGGTGACAGAAGCTGATAATTACCACTTTGTCCTTGCAGAGAACCCGGAAAGAGAATAAGGAAGAAGCTAAAGAAGAGAGAAAGCAGACAAAATGTAGAGGATAGGCATGGACCAGGAGGTAAGAGGATGGGAGCGAGGCAGAGAAGGGCTCAGTGAGGCAGGGCCTAGTTACTCAGAGAGTTGTGAGCTCCTGGGGGCCTCAGGTATCCCTTGGTTGAGCCTGACTCGGGAGAAGACACAAGTGCCCAGGCCGATCCCTACGAATTCATCTCACCTGTATTTGAAGGTAAATAATTTCTGGCAGATAGCGTGTGGGAGTGAAAAGAACGTAGCCATGGTCCAGATGACAGCGATGTAGATGACACCCTTTGTGATTGAGATCCGGGGTTTCAAGGGATGCATAATGACCTGGAAAACAAGCAAACCGCATCATTAACTGAAGACGTTTTGGAACAAATCAGAAATCTGGGCCAGGTGCAGGAGCTCACACCTGTAATCCCAGCACTTTGGGCGGCTGAGGCAGAAGGATCACTTGAGCCCAGGAGTTCTAGACCAGCCTGGGCAACACAGTGAGACCCTGCCTCATAATAATTTTAAAAATTACATAAATATATAAAAAGAAATCTGGATGGCACAGCTCACTTGTCACATAAGGCAGGCCCTGTTGATAAAGTCAAGCACCACTTATGTTCATTACTGAGCCTCTGAGCTATACCAGGTAGCTGCTGAAGGAGAGGAAGCCCAGCCATGCCCCACCTAATAGCCTGCCTCCAGAGGTGGGAAGAAAGGGTCTTCTGGATTCAGAGACCCCAGGCAGGTCATACTCAGGCAGGTCATACATCTGCCTCTTGCTGGTCATACTCAGCCTGAACCAGGGTCCGGTGAGAGGACCAGGAAGGCCCGGGAGGAAGGCTGTTCACATGGCACCAGAGCAAGTCTGGGAGAGGAGCAAACCCACGGTCATCTGAGGGACCTGATCATCTTCCCATGATTCTAGACCCGTTAGGACCAGAGCAAGTCTGGGAGAGGAGCAAACCCACGGTCATCTGAGGGACCTGATCATCTTCCCATGATTCTAAACCTGTTAGGACCAGAGCAAGGCCAGGAGAGGAGCAAACCCACAGTCAGTCCCACCTCCTCAGGACCTGCATTCATCTTCCCATGATTCTAGACCCCTTAGGTTGTGATAGACTCCGATAAGGTCTGAGCTGACAGACAGGAAGAGGCCATTCTCATCACTCTTCCTGGCAAGCTGCACGGACACTTATGTGTGAGCTCCCAGCACGTTTATGAAAGCCGTTACTAAAATCGCACCAGGGCCCAGCTCTCATACACCTATAATAAAGTCAGTGTTACAAGCTTCAGGCTGAAATGCATCTTGGAGTTGCTACTGTATGTCAATCAATTCTCCCAAAAGGTTTAAATAAAGACTTAGGGATTTTAAACCATCCATCCTCATATTAAAATGAGAAACACTATGTTTTGGAAAAGGCATTTTGGGATAGGTGAGTCTAGGGTCAGGAAGAAGAGGTGAGGAAGAGCTGCCACCACCTCTAAATGCCATCCCAGAACGCACTGGACCTTCTGGCTGTGTCCTGATTTTTTTTTAATTCCTCTCAATGTTTTGAAGGTTTTATAAGAAGAAGCAATGAGGCTTCAGATGCTGCCAGCACATCTCCGTTCTGGATTCAGCCATCTCTGCCCCTCACACTCCTGTGTTCAGATTGCTGAAGGGAGCGGCAGCCTGGGCCAGAGACTCCAAGTACTTCTCAAGGTCTCCGTTGGCCTTGGGACAGAGCCCCTTGTTGGGGTATATGTTGCAGCAACATGGTCAAAATAAGCAAGGCTTAGCCCCCATTCCTCAGACTCAACCTTAGCCCATGGTCAACACTCAGCTGCATTAATCTGGGGTAAGCACAGGCCAGATAAAGGTAATCTGAAGTCCTTCTAGATAAATGAAGGCAGATGGTTATGAAAAAGCAGGAAATATTTATATGCAAACTTTTCACACTTTACACTAAACCACCTGCAACATAAATTAAGAGTTGATTCTTACAAAATTATGGCATTTCAAAGATAAGTGTTGTCTCTAACCTGCAATTACTCCGCTCTCCTTTTCTGTGATTTTCCAGGGTTGCTTTTCTATCCTCAAAACAAACTCACTAATTTCTGAGACAGAAAAATGCCAGCAATGAGTCTTCATCGGATCAACAAAGAAGAACTTTTTGTGACCATTAGGACAAAGGGTTTAATATCCGTAACATGTTTTCATGTTGATCAATAAGAATACAAAGATACTCACTGAAAGCTGGGCTAAAACCCTGTCTTCAGAGCCCCTGCAACTTCCTGGAAAAGGGAAGCAAGAGAGGGAGGAGCAGAGCATTAGAGGTAGGTGCCCTCACCTGGTGGCGGTCCACTGCAATGGCTGTCAGCGTCAGTGCTGAGACGTGCAGGGAGCAGTACTGGGCAAAGCGGCTGACGTGGCACATGCCCTTCCCAAACACCCACGTGCTGTTCACAAAGCGAACCTGGAGATGAGGCCAAAGACATTAGGAGACAGGCCTTGACTTTGACACCCATCCCCAGAGGTCTCTGAGGAGCATGCCTTCGGGAGGATTCCTCCAGCTCCTCCCTTCTTTCTGCCTATGATACTGAACTGTGGAGTAAACAGGATTTTCTCCAGCACAACTCATTTTCATTCATTCAATTCAACAATCCCTGCCATGCTTAGGTGCCAGGTGAGCTTGTAAAGGATGTGGGCTTTGGAGTTGTACTTCCCACCTCTAATAGCTTCTTGCTATGAGGCCTTGGGCAAAATAGGTAACCTGAACCTCAGTTTCATTTGCAAAAAAAAGAAAAAGCCCTCAAAAACCTCTGCCGTTTAAATTTTTTCAGTGTCTGTAAAGGGTAAAACACAATGTCTGGCAGATTGTTCTGCTATTATTAGAAGTAAATAGTTGCTATTTTTATGTGCAGTCATAAAATTCATTCTTGGTCCACACAAGTTCACTCTAGTGTGGGAGAAACGCCTGAATTGTCACAACATAGCATGTGGGCTGTGCCGGCAAATCTTGGCTAAACTGGCCTTGTAAGTCATCATCTGGGGAGGAGACCCAGGGACCTGGAAAGGTGTAGACAGGTTTGGGGAGAGAAGACAAGCTCCCCAAACTGTGTAGGGCTCTAGAAGCAGGCCCAGTCCTTATCCCACATCACCCAGCACTACTTACTCATTCAATTAGTACTTGAGCAGCTCCTGTGAGTAACGTCCCATGCCTGAGAGAGATCAAGCATTGATTTTGATAAAGGAGTTTGCAGCCAGGGCAGAGGAGGGCTCAAGTAACTCAAGTGCAAGACAGAAAGTAATCAATGCTCTGTAGAGACCCAGACAAAAAGCCAATGGGGCCATCAGATAGGGATGGGAGTGGGCAGAGGCACAGAAGCATAGAAATAGAGCAAGTCGGCCCAAGAGGAGTATAACGTAGTGACTTACAGCAGAGTGTTTGCCACTGAGCACTGTGGCCTTGGGCAAGACAATGGGCCCTCTGAGCCCCACTTTCCTCATCTGTAAAATGGGCTAACCCTTTTCACATGGTTGTTAAATCATTCAAGATTGATAACATGTAAAGGAGGTACAATAGTGCCTAGTACATAGCAGGTAATTATCGCTATCAATTGCCATTATTATGACATATGAGACATTTAAACTGAGGAGGGATTTGTGCATGTGGAGATGAGGACAAAAGGCACTGGCACTAGATCAGAAGTTCCAGGACCTGTTTGGGGAATAAGGAGTGGATTGGTTTGTCTGGAGTGTGTGAACAAGAGTCATCACAAGTCTGGCCAAATCTTGAAACTAGGACAACAGACCAGGGATTTTACTCTCTTTGTGGAAGTCAGGGAGGAGCCATTGAGGCTGTTGAGCAGTTCAGTAACAATATAGAGCTAGAAATCTTCAGCTATTCCTCATTCTCATTCCCCACATTGGAATTACCAAATCTAACCAGTTTTGCCTCTCACTGGTTTTTAAAACTGTTCCCTCTTTGTGCTAAAGCCATGGGCTTCGTGGGATACCCCATCATCTCTCCCTTGGACTATTACAGCCTCTGAACAGCTTTCCTCATTCTCTGGGTTTGTTCCCTTAGAATTCAGCCTTCACACTGCTGACAGCATTTCTGCTAACCACAATCAGATTGTTGTCGCCTTCCTGCTTGGAAGCATCCTGGCTCTTAGTGGGACAGAGTATCCAGGCCCCTTCACAACCTGGCCCTGCCTTCCTTTCTGGCCACCTCTGCTTCCCTCTCCCCTGCCCACTCCTCCATTGCTTCCTGCTGCTCCAGCCTCATTGAGCCACTCAACATTCCCTCAACATACCATGAACTTTGATGCTTCAAGGTCTTTGTTCTCCCTGGTCCCTCTGTCTGCCCTAAGTGTTCATCTCGACCTGGGAAATTCCTACTCAGCCAGGTCTTCTTGAAATGTCACATTCTTTGTAGTCTCCTTGGACCCTCTCATGGGACTCTGATGGGTCAGAATGAAAGAGGCCCCCTTCAGGATCTACTACATTCTGTGTGTGTCTCTGTCTACCATGGGAACTGTCAGTAATTGTCTGCTTTTCTGTCCATCATTCAGAGCTGGGCTTCATGCTGACTGCAGTAGATGAAGTGGATAGGAAGGGAGGTCAGAGAGGAAGGATATTGTTGCCAATCAGCCAAAGGCAGGGGTGCCTGTCCTAGTTGGGGGGCCTATGCTCAGTAGCTGAGGGGTTGGAAGCCACTCCCCACAACCTTTTCTCTTTCCTACCTGCCAGCACCTTATAAGCTGTAATTAGAGTTTGGATTGGGGGGATCTTGATGAGTCAGGTTCAAGGCTAAGCTGCTTTGGCTCATACTGGAGGGGGTGCTGGGTTCTCAGGACCTTGACATCCCTTCTCTTGTAGAAGATTCTCTGGGGCAGGCATTGCCAGCTCTCAGGTATAGCCTGTCATTGAGTTTGTGGTCTCCCTACCACTTCTTGTGTCTGCTGCTGATCCAGCCCTGTATCCTGGCTCTGGGCAGCAGCAAAAAAAGACCATGTTCTGTGGCTTCCAAGTTCCCAACCTGGGTGGCCCAGCCCAGCCACACCATTGTAGGTTCTTAGGACAGAAACCAAGGGAGGGGTCAAAGGGAGCCAGGATGCTGTTGTCTTGTGCTTTGAGACATCCAGGGAGAAACGGAGTATTTGCAAGTCCACTCATCCTTGGGTAATGCCCAGGGGATATTGAGCGGCCATCAGTACATTAGATGTAGGCTGAAAGGAGATCGGAACAAGTCCAGGGTTTGGAGTAGCAGAAGCTAAACATGGTCCAAGAGTGTCTGTCACTCCCAGCTGGCTGGCTTAGTTGGACCAACCTCTGGACTTGAGTTAGGGGATGGAATTCTCATCCTGGCTCTGCTAACTACTGGCCAGGTGGCTTTGGACAAGGGACCGAACCTCCCTGTGCCCTAGTTTTCTCATCTGCAAAATGTGAGTAATATTCTAATAGGTGAGGACTAGAAAGACAATGTGAGGGTAATTTTTCAATATAAAGTCTGGAAGGATGTTTACCCAGGTGGATGCACTGATGGGGGATCATCCTGTGTTTTTTACTTGTCTGTTATATGTGGTTATGTGTGTATGAGAGAGAGAGTGGGGAGAGAGACAGAGAGGGATTAATAGATTACTGCACTGGTAATCACTCAAATAACAAAGTTACTCCAAAAGAAGAAAAACTATAACACACTAGAGAAACATGCAGTATAACTGTCACTATGGTTGCTCAGTCATCGCCCTCAGAGTCCCAAATTATCCATGAGAGCCACACTCCTGGGTCACAGCAGGACACTACCAATGCTAAGTAGCCAGGGCTTGGGGAGGAATCCCATCAGCTGCCAATGTGAAAAATGCCCCCAGCCTGCCCCATCTCTGGGGCCTAAGCCCACCTTCCCTCAATTATTCAACACAAACCTCAAACACAGCCTTATTATCAAACCACAGAAGGGAAATGCACTTTAAATAAGTAGTCTAGGAAAATGCACTTAATGTTCCATGAACAATTAGCAATTGTTTGATATTTCAGTTGTAGCATAAAGCAGCATCCCATGGGTTCGGGTGGGCACCGAATAGGCTGCACTTCGGAGGAGGGGGACCTGATCATCTCTGCTGACATTTCAGGGTCACTGATTCACTGCTCAATTATCAACCTAGCCCAGACCCAGTGAGATGAAGCAGGAAACGGTCATTCATTTCAGCTGGCTGCAGAGGCTCAAACCATTGACTCAATGCCACTGCCCCAGAAGCTCTGGCTTAGAAGGTGATGAGACAGAAAGAAGTGGGGAGGAATCAGAGAGTGGGGCAAGGGAGAGAGAAGAGAGGAGAGGGGAGAGAACAGAAAAACAAAATCACAGAGAGACTGACAAGAAGAAAAAGCAATAAAATGAGGAAACAGAGAGAGACAAATAGGGACACAAAGAAAAAAGATGAGAACACTGATAGAGAAGAGAGATGGAAAGACCTCAGAGAGCGAGACAGACACTGAAAGAGACTAAGAAAAACAGGAGACAGACAAGAACCAAGATGACGGAGAAAAGAGACTAGGACAGGAAGACAGGGGCAGAGGAGAGGAGAAATGAGGAGGAAAGAAACAGACGTGGAGAGAGAAGTGGCGACCCACAGTGAGACACAGAACGTCAGAGGGAGGCGAGGGAATTGAGAGACGAGAGGGGGAGGAACAGAAGGTGGGGCGGCAGGCGGCGGGCCCCTTACCAAAGTGAAGGGGGTGTTGAGCAGTGTGATCATGATGTCGGCGACCGCTAGGTTGACGATGAAGAGGCTGGTGGCCGAGTGCATTCGCTGGTTCTTGAAGATGACATGACAGACCAGGACGTTGCCAAAGAGTGAGAAGACGATGATGAAGGAGTAAGCCACGATGAGCAGGGCTTTCACCGTGGGGTTCTGGGACTCGGCGCCGTAGCGCCTCCTGCCCACAAAGTTCTGCCAGTCCGAGAGGGTGTAGTTGTTCCAGGAGAAGTGCGAGGCGTTGGCCACGCCCAGGGCCGCCTCGAGGCTCTGTTCGTCGTCCCGGCCCTCGTGGGGCTCGGTGGCTCGCACCAAGGGGAGGAGGCAGAGCAGCACCAGGTGAGGGACCATTTTGCAGGAGCCACCCCTCCCCTGGGAGCCTGCGGGCTGGCGTCCCTGCCCGCTGGGTTCCGAGCGCACAGCCGGGGTTCAAGGCGCAGAGCGTGCAGGGCGGTCCCGCGGACCAGGGAGCCCGGACCCGCGGAGCACCGCGCCGCCAGCCACCAGCCCGCGCTCGGCACGCCAGCCCCGGGCTTGTTGGAGCACTTTTCTATCTCTGCTCCCACCAGGCTGCTAGGAAGCGCCTCCGCCTATTGGGCAGCGCGGCGTCTCTCTCGGCGACGTTGACGCGCTCCGGCTCGACAAGCCTGACTCCCCCCACCGTGCTGGGTGGCGCCGTTGCTGCCCCCACGCCCAGCCGCTCCCACTCCCGCCTGAAACTCCTCCGACAGCGGTTCGGGTGCTCTGTGCCCAGCGCGCACACGCTCGCGTGGTGTCTGCTTAGCCTCTTGTAAAGGAAGCAGACAGGCAGGTGGGAGGAAGCCCACCGCGGCATTTGGGATGATGAGGGGCACGCTGCTAAAGCCGGGTCAGTGACAAGGATATATTCATTTGTTTCCACCTAAGCCTTAGCCTTGGCACAGTTTCAATGTCGAAGTGGATTGCTGGCGTCCTGATGGTCCCAGGAACAAGGCAAACCAAAAAATAGAGACATTAAGGATTCTCCAAGTCCCCCGAATATCCAGTTATCAGAGGTGCTGGAGCGCTTATTAAAGGTTGTTTCTTTGACAGCTCCCAGGAATGCAAGGTGGGGAGCTTTGTTTTTCAAGGGAAGTCTTCAAAGCAGTTCTGATAGCATCAAAGAAGCAAAGGAGAAGAGGAGTTTAGCTATGTGCTCCCCAATTGGGTAACTGAGTTTTTCTGCCACGGAAGTCCGTGAAGCTGTATCTTTAAGGGGTATTATGACCCTGGCTGTTTTTCATTCCCCACCTACTTCTTCAGGAAACCTTGATATCCTTGCTCACCTGTTTTCACTTCCACTGTGAAAACTCTCCCAGTCACTTGTCCTCTGCCACCCACATGCCTGACCCTGTGGTTAAGACCATGGGGTCTGGAATTAGGGTCTAATCCCAGCTTGGCCCTTCCTAGCTGTGAAATCTTCAAGCCATTTAACTTTTTTGGCCTTCGTTAAGAGGTTTTCTTTTCCTAAATGTGAGGTTTTCAGAGACGCCTGTATACATCTCTCACTGTATTGCCCTCTGGTGCAAGAGATGCAATATCTGTTTGACTACTTGTAACCCCTGACCCCCAACAGGAAACACCATGTAGATTCTTTCCATTGCGCCCTGAGGAGCAGTGTCCTTGGGCTGGGACCCAAACAATGACTCAAGCCTAGGTATCACTCTTGTCTCCAGTTTTTCACTTCACATTTATTCTTCAAGCAACTGTGTCTGGAGGAAAGGATGGCTAGCCGATACCCCTCAATTAAACTGAAGGACCTGGCAGGTCTCACAGGATTAAGTGACTGAAATAGGGGATTATGTGACAGATTCTAGAAGGGACAAGGTGCTAGGCTAATGAAATAATACATCTTTAGCTTCAGGAAGTAAAACAAGAGACTGCCTGTAAACACTTAATTCAAAGCTTGGGTAGATGTGCTGCTCCATCAAGATGACTTGGCATCATCTTAGGGCGGCAAGGCTGGAATATGATGTTTATTTAGAAAACAGACTCCTAGTCAAATTTCAAACTGTGCCCAGTGTCAAGAAAGAGCGTGTGGATAGGAAAGGAATAGTCAGCGTCAAGCTTAGAGAAAGAAGTCAAAGGGAGCCAGTGCCCTTCCAAGCACTCTCTTCCAAGTACCCCAGCAGGTGCTTGCTAGCCGGCATATTTGTAATCTGGGCCACTTAACTAATGTCTTCACTTTGATTCCCTGCTCATCATGCCCACCTTGAAAGTGTGAGGGCATTTATGCCAGAAGCCTTAAACAACCTTTCTGAAAGAAAAGGTGAGGCATTTTAGTTCTTAGCTTTCCCCAAAAGCATCTCCTGAGACAAAGACTCTAGTGAGGGGGCTTATTTGGGAGATGAAAGCAAACACCAATAGGGAAGTGAAGAAATGTGACAAGAAAGGGAAAGGAACCAAAAAACAGTGCTGTCAAGCCAGCTACCACTGTGGGTGACAAGCTGAAGCCTGCTAGGAAGCCAGTGTAAGGCGTACACATCAGCTACTCAAGCCCAGGGGTGACAGAGCTGTGATATCCATACTCCACCTCCTGTTAGTCACTGGATGAAGGCTTCCCCCAGGGGTGGGCTCCTTCTCCCAGGATGCTCCTGAACTTCTGGCCCGACAAGTGGACAGCCAAAATGGGCTCCAGAGGCAAAAGAAGATCTTGGGCAAACAAATGCTACTGCTGGCAGTTACAAGTTGCACTGGTGTGCTCTGAAGGAGGAGGCCGTCCTGAGAAAATCCAAAGGTAGGCATGAGGTCTGAAATCACTTCCTCTACCTCTTCCCCAGGCATTCAGTTCTCCACTCAGCCAGGCCTGGGTCTTCTGAGCCCTGCCAAGCCCTCCTCTCAGCCCAGTACCACTGTCCCCAACTTACCCTGAACTTCTGAAACCAGAGTCTTTAATAAAATAAGAATATCCCCCGACTTATCCCACAGGAAAGCTGAGGTTTTTTTGTTTTTTGTTTTTTGTTTTTTGAGACAGAGTTTCGCTCTTTTGCCCAGGCTGGAGTACAATGGCGCAATCTCGGCTCAACACAACCTCTGCCTCCTGGGTTCAACGAATTCCCCTACCTCAGCCTCCCAAGTAGCTGGGATTACAGACATGTGTCACCACACCTGGCTAATTGTTTGTATTTTTAGTAGAGACAGGGTTTCCCCATATTGGTCAGGCTGGTCTCGAGCTCCCGACCTCAGGTGATTTGTCCAAAAGACTGAGTTATTAAAAGAAGGTTTTTTTTCTCAGAGGTGTTATGGGTCCTGTAAATCACTGTTGTTGTTACTAAGGTGTTACGGGAAGACACAAGCAGCTCTTACAGTGAACCAGTCTCTTTTGTACATTACTAATAAAACCAAGGACACTGAATAGTCAGTCTCTGCCAAATAGTAAGTATATTCCTATATCTCTGATAACAGTCACACATAGTAAACATAGCAAAGAGCAAAGGGTTTATTATTTCACTCTCTCAAATGTACTTGAAACAAAGAAAGAAAAACAATAAACTTCACACATATTTTAATAAAAATGAGATCAAGAATTACAGAATATAGTTGTCCCCCCTTATTTATGGGGTACACATTCCAAGATTCACTATGGATAGTACCAAACCTTATACAGGCTATACATGAATTTCTTTTTCCCTCTTCACAATTTCATGGATAGAGAATTCGCTCTTATTACAGATCTTAGCAGCCTCAGCTTATGATTCCCCTCCCCTCTTCCTTATTAAATCAAGAACTTTCACCTTTTCACATAAAGGAAGTACTTTACAGCTTCTAGCTGGCATATGCTAATTGCCAGCATTGCTACTTTTGCAGCTTTGGGGCCATTACAAGCAAAATAAAGGTTAATTGTACACAATCACTGCAATACCGTGACAGGCACTCTGACAACTGAGGTGGCTACTGAGTGACCGAGGAGCAGGTACTGCATAGATACGCTGAACAAAGGGAGGATTCACATCCTGAGTGGACAGAGTGGGATAGTGTGATTTCATGAGAAACTGTGAAAAGCGAAGCCTTGGACAAAGGGAGACTACTGTAATATCACATAGAGGTCCAAGAAAGTGGTTTGGAGAGCCTCACCACATCAATATTCCTAACACTGCAAACAATGCCCCTTTAACACCAATATTATCCTCTGAAAAGGCCCTGCTTGAGTTAAAAACTCACCATACTCACAGTTCCTTATGGTACTAATCACAGTGCCAGAAGGGAAGAAACAGCAGTTCAACAGTGCCAGGCTCATGACAGTCACTCCTAGTTTGTTTAATTGTACAAGCTGTATGTCATCGTACTTGAATTACGAATGAACTAAGGAGGCCTGAAATACCAAGTACAGCTGAAGATATGCTCAAATGCAATAAAAATGCAAAATGTGTAGGCAGGCTAAGCTAGGAATTGCTTTCCAAGTTCCAATACACTGAGCCATAGAGTAAAAAGGTATATTTAGGAAATGTAAAAAGAAGTACACCCAAGTTCCAACTTCCAACAGTTTGTGGCCTCAAATTAAATTGTAAGTTGCTTGAACTTACTCTGCCCTTTTACACAGAAACTTTTCTAAATGGTGGCTAGGTTCCTGAGCCAACTCCAACCACCCATTTAACCCATATATGGATAAACAGTAGCATTAGTTGTCCCACAGGATTGCTAGCTAAAGTTCAGGGCTCCTAGGGGTTATGCTTCATTATCTGCTCCTCGTGAATTAAATGTCTCCTGGGGTGATCTCAGCCACCTTCACCAGTTTAACCATCCATCACTCACCAATGACTCCAAGATCTGTACCTCACTTACCACCTCTGTTAAAAGCTCCAAATCTGTATTATGTAATATTTCACTGTTAATTGGATGTTTTCACCTGGAATACCCACACACTTCAACAAGCTCCAAACTCTATTATATCTTGCTCTTCCCTCACTTTCTTGTACTTGATCCTTTTCCTATTCACTTGTCCACCAATCCTGTGGTCATCTCAGCCATCACCAATTTCATGACAGTATGTATTTGAGGATGCTGTTTCTCTGCCTGAAGTCATGCTCTCCACCACCTTAGAGCCAGAAAAACTCTTTATTCTTCAAGACCCAGCTCAAATGTTATCTCCCCTCTGAAGACTGTCTGACCCCCTTGACTGCCACAACCCCAGAACAAGCAAAGTCAGTATTCCCTAATCTGCTCTTTTAAAAGTGCAGATGCATTCTCTGATACTGTACTTCCCTTGTTGGGGTCTCACAATTTGCTACACATGTATTTCCTATGAAATTGTCAGCATTACCAGGCCAGGAATTACTGTATTCCTAATGTTATCTCCTACAGCCTACTACTAAGACAGGAAAAATAGGCAGTTCTGAATTTGAGAAACTGGCCCTAGAATCAGACAACCCAGGATGCAGGTGCTTATCTCTCTAAATACTTTTTTTTTTGTCTAGTAAGTTCCTGGGACATATCTATTTTTTTATTTTAATTTTTTATTTTTTCATAAGCTATTGGGGAGCAGGTGGCATTTAGTTACATGATTAAGTTTTTTAGTGGTGATTTGTGAGATCCTGGTGTACCCATCACCCAAGCAGCATACTCTGAAGCATATTTGTAGTCTTTTATCCCTTGTCCCCTCCCACTCTTCCCCCGAAGTCCCCAAAGTCCATTGTATCATTCTTATGCCTGCTTTTGCATCCTCATAGCTTAGTTCCCACATATCAGTGAGAACATATGGTGTTTGGTTTTCCATTTCTGAGTTACTTCTCTTAGAATAATAGTCTCCAATCTTATCCAGGTCACTGCAAATGCTGTTAATTAATTCCTTTTTATGGCTGAGTAGTATTCCATCATATATACATATAATATATAGTATATATACTATATACTATATATTATATATATGATACTACATATATACTATATGTACTATATATGTATATATGTGTACTATGTATTATATATGTAGTATATATAATGCATATTATATACTGTATAATATATATTACATATTATATACAATATACATTTATTACTATACAATATATATATTACATATTATATACTATATGGCATATAGTATATACATACTATATAACAGTATATATATTATATATACTATATATACTACAGTATATATATCATATATATGATGGAATATTATATATGATGGAATACTATATTATATATAGTGTATTATATATCACTATATATAATAATATGTATTAAATATATATTATTATGGATCACATGGTAGTTCTACTTTTAGTTCTTTAAGAAATCTCCACACTCTTTTCCATAGCGGCTATACTACTTTACATTCCAACCAGCAGTGTAGAAGTGTTCCCTGATCGCCACATCCATGCCAACATCTTGTTTTTTGATTTTTTGATTATGGCCATTCTTGCAGGAGTAAGGTGGTATTGCATTGTGGTTTCGATTTGCATTTCCCTGATCATTAGTGATGGTGAACATTTTTTTGTATGTTTGTTGACCATTTGTGTATCTTCTTTGAGAATTTTCCATTCATGTCCTTAGCCCACTTTTTGATGGGATTATTTTCTTACTGGTTTTCATTCACTGTGGATTCTGGATATTAGTCCTTTTTTAGATATATAGATTGTGAAAATTTTCTCCTACTCTGTGAGTTGTCTGTTTACTCTGCTGACTGTTCCTTTTACCATGCAAAAGGTTTTTAGTTTAATTAGGTCCCAGCTATTTATCTTTGTTTTTACTGAGTTTGCTTTTGAGTTCTTGGTCATGAGCTCTTTGCTAAGCCAATGTCTAGAAGAGTTTTTCCAATGTTATCTTCTAGAATTTTTTATAGTTTCAGGTTTTAGGTTTAAGTCCTTAATCCATCTTGAGTTGATTTTTGTATAAGGTGAGAAATGAGGATCCAGTTTCATTCTCCTACATGTGGCTAGTCAATTATCGCAGCACTATTTGTTGAAAAGGATGTTGTTTCCCCATTTTATGTTTTTGCTTGCTTTGTTGAAGATCAGTTGGCTGTTTAAGTATCTGGGTTTATTTCTGGGTTCTCTATTCTGTTCCATTGGTCTATGTGCCTATTTTTATACCAGTACCAGGCTGTTTTGTTAACTATGACCTCATAGTATAGTTTGAAAGGAGCTAGTGTGATGCCTCCAGGTTTGCTTTTTTTTTTTTCTGCTTAGTCTTGCTTTGGCTACATGGGCTCTTTTTTGGATCCATATGAATTTTACAATTTTTTTTCTAACTCTATGAAGAATGATGGTGGTATTTTGATGGTGATTGCATTTAATTGGTAGATTGCTTTTGGCAGTATGGTCATTTTCACAATATTGATTCCACCCATCCATAAGCATGGGATGTATTTCCATTTGTTTGTGTCATCTATGATTTTTTTCAGCAGTGTTTTGTAGTTTTCCTTGTAGAGTTTATTCAACTCCTTTGTTAGGTATATTCCTAAGTATTTTATTTATTTATTTTGCAGCTATTGTAAAAAGGGTTGAGTTCTTGATTTGATTATCTGCTTAGTCACTGCTGATGCATGGAAGAGCTACTGATTTGTGTACATTAATCTTGTATCTGGAAACTTTGCTGAATTCTTTTATCAGTTCTAGGAGCTTTCTGGAGGATTCCTTAGGGTTTGGAAATTAAATAACCTGTTCCTGAATAAGATTTGGGTCAAAAATGAAATCAAGATGGAAATTTAAGAATTCTTTGAACTGAAAGACAATAATGACACAACCTATCAAAACTTCTGAGATACAGCTAAGGTGGTGCTAAGAGCAAGGTTCATATCTCTAAATGCCTACATTAAAAAAGTCTGAAAGAGCACAATATAAGGTCACACCTCAAGGAACTAGGGAAATTAGACCAAACGAAACCCAAATCCAGCAGAAGAAAGGAAATAACCAAGATCAGAGCAGAACTAATGAAATTGAAACAAACAGAAAATACAAAAGATATATGAAACAAAAAGGTGGTTCTTTGAAAAGATAAATAAAATTGATAGACCATTAGCAAGATTAACCGAGAAAAGAAGAGAGAAAATCCAAATAACCCCACTAAGAAACGAAACAGGAGATATTAAAACTGACACCATTGAAATACAAAAGATCATTCAAGGCTACTATGAATACCTTTATACACATAAACTAGAAAACCTAGAAGAGATGGATAAACTCGTGGAAAAATATAACCCTCCTAGCCTAAATCAGGAAAAACTGGATGCCCTGAACAGACCAATAACAAGCAGTGAGATTGAAATGGCAATTAA